GGCCAGGCGGAGGCACAACAGGGAGGGTGCCCAGCGGCAGGACGCGAGATGGGGCACGTGGCGGTGCATGCGCACTGGGATTCCCTCGGGTCCCAGACCAGCTGCCCCTGCTCCCTGCCAGCTCCTGCCATCATCCTCACTGGCCTGCACCGGGGCTGGCTGGCCTGGGGAGGCCGCTGGCCCGCGTGCCCCAGTGGGCTGTAGAGGTGGCTGCCATGCTGGCCTTGTCATGCCTCCCCTTCAGGGGAGCCGGCTGCCGGAGGCGCGCTGCTGGCAGCATGAGGTTTCTGACGCAGGGCTGGGCTCGAGCCAGGGACCGGCTGTGTCCAGACACCCTTGATCAGCTGCCCGCATCGCTCCTGCCCGCGCTGGCCTGGGACCCGCGAGCCGGAGGCAAAGCCCCGTGTCGCTGTCCTCAGCTGGTGACCCCAGCTGCTCCGAATTCCCTGTCCCACCTGCTTCCTCACAGGCTTGCTAAACCTTCCTGTCTCTCCCTGCAGGGCAGGAAGGGGTTTTATTTCCACTACTGGGCCTTGTTTGATGGCCATGCAGGCAGCGGTGCTGCTGTCATGGCATCCAAGAGGCTTCACCTGCACATCTGCGAGCAGCTCCGGGACCTCGTGGACATCCTGCAGGACCCATCTCCGCCTCCCATCTGCCTCCCGCACGACCCAAGGGCCAGCCCTGTGGAGCCAGGCCGGGTGCCCCTCGCAGAGGATGATGGGGAGGTCCCCAATGATGCTGTGCCGCGGTTTCACCTGGAGAAAGCCGTCTCTCACGAGAGCCTGGTGATTGGTGCCATCGAGAACGCCTTTAAGCACATGGTGAGTTTGCCCCTGCCTGCAGGGATGCCCAGGTATCCCCCAGAAGCATCTCTGTCTGTGTCAGCGTTGGCTTGTCCCCTCTGGCAAAAGGCAGCTCTGCAGCAAGGAGGGGGCTGCAGCGAGGGCTCCTAGCAGGATGGTCTTGGAGAGGGTGCTGCGATGCTCTCCCATATTTGGGGGTTCAGGACACAGAGGCTTTGGGCTCTGGCCCTGTGTGGGTGCGGAGGGCTTCGTTGCACTTCATTCCAGCAGTCCCAGCTGCTCCCCTCCTGTCTTGCTCTTTCCTGCCCTCTCCACCGCCCCAGTGAAGCCGTGTCCCCAGCTGCCCCTGGGCTGGGGACCCTGTGCCCCCCCAGCCCTGCAGCCGCCCCTGGGCTGCGTGGAGAAAGGTGCCCGGGCCCCGGCTGGCTGCCGCTCCTCACCTGGAGCGGGGTCTCAGCTTGGCCAGCAGCCGAGGTGCTGCTGGAGCAGCCAGGCGCTATTTTGGGCTGCTTGCAGCTTTGCTTGCTGGCATGGGGCCGCCTGCCTGACCTGCCTGGAGCCGTGCTCTGTCTCCACAGGACGACCAGATCGAGCGGGAGCAAGCGTCCCAGCGCCTGTCTGGGGGCTGCTGCGCCCTGGCTGCCGTCTACCTCATGGGCAAGTTCTACGTGGCCAATGCCGGTGACAGCAGGTACAGCCCTACCGGGCAGCCCCCACCTTTTGCCCAGTAATCGGGGAGCACCCTGGTAGAGCAGGGCCGTGCTGGAGGCATGGCTGGCAAGGAGCACCTGGCTCCATCCCTGAAGCTGGGCTGTTTTGGAGAGGGCAGAGGCAGCAGGACCAGGCAGAGCCACCCCCTGCCTGCCCGCACGCCCTGGGGACAGTGTGCCCTGCCGTGATCTCTGCGTTTGCCCGGTGCACAGAGGGGCTGCAGAATCACCTCCCAGAATCTGGGACTTGCTCCCTGCCTTCCCGGCAGTGTCCTGTCTGCTTCCCAGATGGCTCTGGATCACACCCCAGCCCTTGGTGCCAGCGCTGCCCTGGGCTGTGAGTTGGGGAGTGAAAATTGCCCTCAGCAAAGCTTTCAGAAATGTGCAAGAAGTCATTTTAGGGCACACTTCATACCAGTGAACTTTTTCAGAAGAAGGACATGCAAATCTATGTGCAGACAAGTCCCACAGGAGCTTGGAGCCCAAGGCTTTTGACTGATACCTGCATTTCCTTGGGTGCATTACTGTAATTGCGCCTGGGTGTGCTCGTACCCCCCAAGCAATGGCAGGAAGGCAAGTCTACCTTATGCTGAGGGTGAAGCTGGTTTGAATTGCCCTGTATTTGCTGCAGGGTTAGCTTGTCCTCAGCAGTGTCAGACCAGCAAATATAGGCTCTGGTAAATTGTCTGAGGCTGGAGGACGTGCTTCCAGCTCTGAGACAGAGGAGGAGAATCTTTGTGCCTCCACTTTTGGGTGCGGGGCCCCTCCATGGCAGCAGCGGCCAGGCACCAGCTGTGCAGGATGGCAGCGCGCGCAGGGTCCCAAGGCTGTAACCATGCCTCTGAGCAAGGGTCTGTGTTCCCTCCTCTGGCATCAGATGCTGCCAGAGTTTGGCCCAGCCAGGTCCTGTATCCCTAGAGGAGACCCGTGGCCCTAGGCAGGACAGCAGGTGGGACAGCTGGGCCACCAGTGTTGGAGATCCTCAGTTCCCTCCATGACATCCAGAAACATCTCATAATCAGACTTCTATTTTTTTAACACATCAAACAATCAGACCGGTCCCAGCAGCGACCTGCAGCGCTGGTGTGGGCCGGGCACTTGCACCCATGTCCTGCTGCTGGCGATTTCTGCCTGTCTCGTGCGTGGCTCCCCTCTAAAGGAGAGCTTGCCACCTTCGGGCTGCTCCTTTTCTAACCATATCCTATCCCTTGGTTTGCTCTGCTTCATTCCCCTCTGCCCCATGCTTCTCTTCCATTTTATCTTCCTCCCTGCCCCTGTCCTGCGGAGGAGGGAGGGAGGCCTGCCCTGCCCGCCCGGGGGCTGTGGGGCCAGGGGGGCTTAGCTGCAGCGGAGCCAGCAAGCAGCCCCCAGCTCGGGGCTGAGAAGAGGGCAGGCAGCAGAGGGGAAGGGGCTGCACCGCCTGGGCAGCCGTGCAGGGAACCAGCCCCGGAGAGCCAGGCTTAGCTCCCCTGCCATGTCTCCTCTCCTCCTCTCTAATCTCATCCTTCCATGTTTCATTGCAGGGCCATTATCATCCGTAATGGGGAAATCATTCCAATGTCCAGGGAGTTTACTCCAGAGACAGAGAGGCAGAGGCTGCAGTTTTTAGTAAGAAAGACCTTTCTTCTAACCTC